ACTTAATTGATATAAGCTGATAGGCAATGTTAGTCAATTCCCCCAAAAGGTAAAAAGAGCAAGTATTTACCTTACAAGATTCAGTGAAAGGTAGACTGTTACAATGTAAAAAAAAGCACGAGAATTTATATTTGGAAATGTTTTTTGAGCTATCACAACTCCTATTATAAAGTATATAACAATGTGAGCCAAAAATGTCAGCATGGACCAAAACCTATTTAAGAAAAAGCAGATTAAGGGAGACATTAAAGCATGCCAATGAGAAAACAAATATTACAATCATTTATCATTTACTAGTATACCATAAGCTAAATTATTTTTCTCACTATTGTACAAAAGTAAATCTACCATAAATATTTCTATTTTATACATAATAAAATGTTTTTTATTATATCACTGTAATGTTTAGTTAGTAATAAAAGTTAGCCCACTTAAGATTATATTTTAAACTGGAAATATTTTTTAAAAATATTTTTTTAAAAGGAAACCAGGCTGTCAAAGAACACGGTGATTGGACCTATCAAAGCTGACATCAGCCAGAGCATAGCATAGAAAAACTCAAAGAAATAGTGCACGATTGGAAGATGTGGAAAGATCTGGCCATACAATCATCAAGAGTCAGATTCGACTGAATGAATAATATATCATCATTTTTAAAAAGTAAAATTAGATGAGCAAAATTCATTGAATTTTGATCTGTTTTTTTATCTAGACTATCTAGACAATCAATACTACCAATACAATCATTTTAATATAATTTTAACATTTCAAAAACATAATTACTAATGTGATGATAAGGGAATTATTTATTAATTTGATTTTTATCCCGCCTTTATTATTGTTTATAAATAACTCAAGGTGGCAAACATTGCTAGTACTGTTTATTCCTCCTATTTTCCCAACATCAACAGTCCTGTAAGATGGGTTGGGCTGAGAGACAGTGACCGACTCAAAGTCACCCAGACAGTTTTTCATGCCTAAGGCCCATCTCCTGTTTTTTATATGCCTCATGAGCTAAGAATGGACAGGCTGGTTGGTGGCCGATTGCCAGGTCCAAGTTTCAGCCAAGGTCTCAGGGTGAGAGGTGAGGGCAAGGCCTAGGAAACCTGTGTAGCAGGCTATCAGTGACCACCCTACTAATGGATTGGTCTGTAGATGTACCAGCCATCACTGTGGAAGCAGAGGAAGGATGGAATCTGATCCCAAAAATTGTCCTGACCTTCAATCCAAATAAAATCACCAGAGTTGGGTGAATGCATAGCTGTAGATGATTAGCCCACAAACCACAGTTATATATAAGCAACCTATTCCTCACTGTGATCACTGTATGTCACAAACATACATGATTACAAAGTTATATTTACTGATGATGGGGCAGATTCATCATAACAAGAGATGGAAGCACAGCACAGCTAAATGCAGTGTCTGCACAAACTCCAAAGATGTTAGGGTACTGAAGGCTAATTCCAGGGCCCAGAACGTTTGTTAATATATTATTTATACAATTTGCTCCTCTTATAAGCCAAGTCTCAGTCTTCCATATGTCAATACCAAATTGGCCCACAGATATTGACTTTTGCTACCATCATCACAATGAGAAAATTTGGAGCTGGATAGCTATAATGAGAATTCAATGATCTATCCTTAAATCCAGTACAGGATTTTTAAGCATTCAAAAATTAGATGGAAAAATAATATTTTTGTGAAACATTTTTCATCAACCATAAGAGAGTAAGCAGGATTAGAATGCAAACTGGAGAGGCAGAACTGGGTATGGTCAGTTAGATTATTGGATCTGCCACAAGAATAGTTGGGCATATCAACTCAACAATGAGAGATTATCAGAAGTCTATGAAGAATCATTGCCAGATACCAAGCAAAATGATTGAAGTCTGTGAATCTACTGGTGTCAAATCAATTCATCATCATCTCTGGGTGAGGACAGATTAATCAAGTGGATTTGAGTCTCAGGGAAGAACAAACAATTTATAAACCCTTCAAAACAAACCAGACAGTTGACTACCAGCAAGGATGATGGATTCCAGGTGCAGTTTGCAAAACGATGAGAAAATGGTTTTGCTACCAATTGGAATGGTAGTGAATGGTATAGTGAGTGACAAGCTGTTACTATCACAGGAATAGCTGGAAAGGAATTTTCTGCAATGAGGATGTGGGGAGATAGGGGAATAAGAAACCATGGACTTCAAGCAAAGTATGGCTAGTGCTGGCAGGTTTAATATGGTCTCCAAAGTGTAAAGTCTAGCTTGTTACAGGTGACATAATGAAGGTAACAAGGACTTGTACACATCAGGAAGAAGTGAAAGTATTGCTGCAATGGGCTTATTAAACCATTAAAGAAAATTTTAGAAGAACTAAAGAAATACAACTTTCTTTATAAATGAACAAGAAATATCCAAGAAAGAATTCAATCACCTATGCTGGCAGAAGTCCACTTCTATTATCAGGAAATTACTGCATACTTAGCAGCTTGGACAGATATATATTGGAACTATAAAACGTAGTATTAACTCATCTAAAAGAACATGAAAAATATTGTCGGCTAGAAAAATTTGAAAAATCTACAGTAGTTGAACACTTATTGCTACATAATGGGCACAAAATTCAGTTTAAAGACACACAAGTACTACCAATTATATCAAATTGTCATGCACAGTTCCAACGAGAAACTATTGAGATTTATAAACACAGTAATTTTTACAAGAAAGAAGCGAGTCTGAAGGTTAACAAAGCCTGATTTCCAGCTTTACATCACACCAAAATAAAATAGCTCTTAATTAACACTTAAAATCTTCAGCAATCTCACCTGAAAAATAATAAACAACAGCGTATTTCAAAGAAAGACCAATCAAAAAATTTGCTCCTCTGGAACTTCTTCAAATTAGATCAATTATAATTTCATCTGGATGAAGAACCAGTCATAAGCTAGCTTTCCAGAATTCCAATGGCAAGGTCCAATTAAAAATTAGTTCAGTTACAAATGCAAGAACTCA